TAGTTGCTTATGCAAAGTTAGAATTCATGTTAAGGCCTGTTACAGAGTAATCATGTATTTTCTGATTTCTGTCTTTGAATGAGCAAGTGTAAGTTTTGTCCAAGGTCGGAGTCGAAGCAGACATGTGTCTTGTTTTAAAATCCTCTCAGACGTAAACAGAGGAGTTGGCACCTATTTCTCCAAACTCGCCAAAATATTTCTCTCGCCTGTCTGAGATCAGTTTAATCTGTTCCATAACAATTCTTGCTGTTTTCTGACTTCTAGTAACCTCTTACATCACAAAACACACCCCTGTCTGGTTGATATTGACCAATCAGGGACGCTCAAATATACCGGAAATAGAGCTCTTTAAAATGCCGGTACTTCCTAGTTCTCTCAGTTCGGTGGAGCGCGGAGAAGTTCTGAGATGTTCGCAGTTCTGTGAAGTCGTTTGGGAGAACAGAAGTCCAGCCATGATAAGGCTCTTCCGAGTTGGATTATAACATCTTCCACCTCTGAGTGGAACTTCTGAAGGACTCCACTCATGTGAAGTCCACTTGCTGATGTGAGCTTGTGTCGGACGGAATCTCGTCACTACTTCGGACGAGTCACAGCCATCCTATGGAGACGCTGGACAGGTAGCGTTAACTGGAACTCCATATCTGCTGATTTATCTTCAGAAAGGTAATGAGTCAAGTTTACTACCAAAGCGTACCGAGGAAAAGCTGGGTTCGAATGGAGAGTGTCGGTTCTGGTCAACACTCCCCCTCACACACCATCTTTCACTCCCTTTAAACTCCATCTTTCCATCTTTAAATTCTTCTCTCAAGTAGAAATCCTTCCAGATAATTTAGAAATGTCTGTGTAAAGTGCTCATCCACCGCCGTGTGGATAATTGATCATAATTGTACAGTTTTCATTAATGTCTGTGGTGAAGCAACGGAAAATCATGGCCGTATGGTTTTCCTGGTTGTAAAGCTGTTTAATTATGTTATTTTCATATTTTGCCAAATTAATGTAAATGTTTGATGTTAAACTTTGATTCTGTAAAATAAATGACCGCATTCATTTTGATGGGTCAAAGATAAATGACGTCTCACGTTTACATTTCATTAAATTCAATGCACGTTTTATTCAGTCCAGAAAAATGAAGAATCCGTTTTAATTGATGAATATATCTCAGCATCTGTTCATCTACAACATCTTGCTTTTTGTTTTTCTTTGGTAACAAGACAGTAAGGGTAAAAAAGGGTCAGATAACCCTAACCCTAACCCTAATGCAATGAAATGAATAAATTAAATTAAAAAAATAAATAAATAAATATACGTATATATGTGTATATACATATATGTATATACACATGTGTATATATATGTGTATATACATATATGTATATACACATATATATATATATACATATATATGTATATATATGTGTATATACATAAATATGTGTATATACATATATATATGTAGATCACACCATTGGTTGGTTCTCTAACTATCTCTCAGACTGGAGGCAATGTGTTCAACATAATGGTACTTCCTCCAGTTATTTAACAGTCAACAATGGTGTACCACAAGGCTCAGTCTTAGGACCCACCCTCTTTACAATCTACATAGGGAATGTAGGTCAAAACATCCCTGATGCATCCATACATTTCTATGCTGATGACACAGTTGTTTGTCGAGCTGAAACAGTTGCTAAGGCTTTCTTTTGAAATCTGCATTCAACTACATCCAGACATACGTGTCCTAAATGCCGACAAAACCAAAGGGATGTTTTTTTCAATTAGGAAATTGGTCCCAGCAGTTCTTCCTCTGATTTTATCCTCAAATGGTGTCCCCATTGAGTTTGTTGATTCCTATAAATATTTGGGTATCTTGGTCGACTCACATCTCTCTTTTAAGCTCCATGTGGAAAACTTGGTAAAGAAACTGAAAGTTAAACTGGGTTTCTTTTTCAGAAACAGATCCTGTCTAACTCTGAATGTTTGGAAACACCTTGTATATGTGACTTTCCTTCCCTCCATTGATTACGGTGACATTATTTTTTTTTTCTCTTGCTCTCGCTTGAGGTGGCTGCTTGTCCTTCCCCTCCCGTTTTTTTTCCTTCCTCCTGCTCTGCTCTCTGTGTGTCTGAAGTGCCTGGTTCATCTCCCAAACGTAAATTAAGATTAACAACAAAGTCCATGCTCAATAATCCAGGTGTACAATCCAACATTTTTCAGTCGGGTCATCTGGACAGTTTCTTTTTATGTGCTGAAATCCGGAAGGCTTCATCAGTCAGAAACATACAACAAAACTGATTCTTCCCCCAACAGCTTACTCCAAAGTGGAACAAGCCAGTTATGTTGGTGCTAAGATGGTGTCTTTGGCACGCCCCTTCCTCCATTGCCGGCCCTCTTCCTTGTTGACAGTCATGTCAAACTGATGAAGCCTTCCGGATCGAAGGTGAAACGTTGGACTTTGTTGTTTTCAACCAGTTTGACATGACTGTCAACAAGGAAGAGGGCCGGCAATGGAGGAGGGGGCGTACCAAAGAGACCATCTTATCACAAGCAGAACTGGTTTGTTCCACTTTGGAGTAAGCAGTTGGGGGAAGAATAAGTTTTGTTGTGTGTTTCCTTGACTGATGAAGCCTTCTGGATCGAAGGTAAAACGTTTAGCACAAAAAAAGAAACTGTCCAGATGACCTGACTAAAAAATGTTGTAAATTAAGATTATGGATCTGATTATTAATCAGGTCTCTCTTGTAAATGAGTCCTCGAGGCTCAATGGGATTTACCTGTCTAAATAAAGGTTGAATGAATGAATGAATGAATGAATGGTGACCTGGACATTCAACGCTATCGACAAGATTTTTTTCAACAAAACGACAAAGTCCTGGAGAACCGGCGTGTCCAGCTGAGACTCATGCTATGGGGCACGTCATGGACCCGTGGGGAGTGTGGCAGCTGATGTGCCTCTCAGTTCTGTTTCAGGAGGATGTTGAAGACGTTTACATATTTGGATTTATGATAGCAGGGACTCTGCTTTTTGGCATCGGCAGGGCTCTGTTTTATTGACTATTGAAGAAGACATCGCAGCAGTTTCGGCCATGGAAAAGCTTCTGAGTCAGTGTGAAGGTCTGGTCCGTGCTGTAGGAACTATGAATCATCTGGTTTATGAGCTAAACCGTAAGGTGGAGGTGATTTATGAGAATCGCAGGCCACCTGCTGCTTCTGGGACTCGTCAGCGTGGTGGGTTCGACCTTGAGGAAGACTCATACCATGGATCAGTGGAATGGAATCCCACATTAAGGCTATTTCAGAACCAGAACGTCCAGATGGACTCGAAACTGAAGGAAAAAGTAATCTGTCTGCCTGAAGACAAACAACAATCAAAGCTCATCTGAATCTGACTCCCGACGGCCTCGGAGACGTGCCGACTATCAAATTTCTCCTGGGTCATGGGTAACTAAGGACAAAAGCTTCATCTATCTTCACCTCCCCCCCGATAACATTCTGTGCAGGCTTATCAGAACTGTCGACTGAAACTTCTTCAGAAACTGTGGCTGATCTGAAAAAACGCTCATGGACAAATCTCAACACCTTGATGTCAAATGCAAATGTAATCATGTTTTAATTGACCTGCTGGTAGAGTTTTTTGATGTCTCAAATCGTGTCCTGATAGACAAGATGTGAAAGATCTTTTTTTGTAATACCACTATCTACCCTCATGTTTCTCCCCCTTTTCCTATCTAAGATTATTATTCTGAAAAAGGATAAGAGAGGCCGCGCTTACAGCAGCAGCTTCGTGCACTGCGTCCATCTTCCAGATGACTGCATGTGCATGTTCTCGTTGTATCTCGGTGCAATGATAATAAAACTTATTTTGATTCTGATTATTTACATGAATGCTCTTACAAGCACCCTGCAGATGTTGGATGCAATTCATAACTGGCTGTAACTACCGTACCCACCACTGCACCCAGTATTCACTGGTTAACTGGTCACCATTAACTTCACACAGACTCTCTCACTGGTACATTTTCATCTTTAAATCACTTCTTGGCCTGCTGCCTTCATACATCTCCTCCTACATGTCTCTGTGTGAGTGCAGCTACAGCGTGCGCTCTCAGGACATCATTACCTACAGTGTTCCCTCAGTGAGGACTGAACTAGACAAAAGGACCTTCTCCTACTCCGCTCCTGTTTCCTGGAATATCTTGTAAAAAGACCTGAAGCTCTCGACCTTTGACCTCTCTAAGTGACTTCAAACATCTGTTCAGTTCCTGGGAAAAACCAACGCAGACATGTTCTTGTTATTAATATTCTACATCGTTTTATAATGTAGGGGAGTGGTGGCACAGAGGTTAGAGAAGGTGGGCCTGTGATCGGAAGATCGCCGGTTCAAGCCCCGGTACCGACAACATCAAAGATGTAGGTGGGGTAGGTGAAGCACCCACACCTGCCCCCACCCTCGTTCATCCCACTCTGGGCCCTTGAGCAAGGCCCTTAACCCCCACCATCTGCTCCTCCATGTGTCCTAGATGCAGCTCTCTGCTCCACACAGAGGGCTGTGGTAGCTCGGTGGTCTGTGGTTGCGTCAGGAAAAGTATCCAGCGTAAAAATAACCACCAAGTCTTCGTGCAACTTAGTTCGCTGTGGCGACCCCTAACACAGGGAGCAGCTGAAAGAAGAAGAAGAAGAAGAAGAAGAAGTTTTATAATGTAGCTGTTTTTTAAGAATAATTTTCTTTCTTGCATTTATTTATTTTTTATTTATATGCCTTCTTTTAAGATTGTCTATTGTTGTCATCATTCTTTGTTAAAATCAGGTCTCTTTTGTAAATGAGTCCCCGAGGCTCAATGGGATTAACCTGTAGAAATAAAAGTTTAATTGAATTGTTAGTCTCAGCAGCTTACTTGTGAGCAGTAACATCTGAGCCGGGGACTCTGGACCTTAACTCTGACTTTTAATGGTTCAGTTTTGAGTTGTTCTGTCTCGTTGGTTCATGGGTGGATGTCCCGCTGCAGGTTGGGTCTGGAGACATGCTGCGTTGTCCGTCTGTCTGCTCCTCTCAAACAGCAGTACGCTCAGGTGAGCTCACACCTGTTCACTGGCTCTATACTTCGTATGTTGCTATGATTACACACAACTCACTTCTGCTTGTCCTGTAGGAACATGGTCTGGATCTGGACCAGCTGCTGGGTCCAGGTCCATACAAAGAGCAATACCGGGCCAACATGATCCAATGGGGAGAGAGTTGCCGGAACAAAGACCCTGGGTTCTTTTGCCGCCTAGCAACGAGACGAGCCCAGCAGCCCGTGTGGGTACGTGTTTAAGATGTCACTATAGCAGCAGAGCTGAGGCTGCCAGATTAGTTCACCTCCTCTGTGATGTCATAGTTCTGACCTGGAGCCTCATATATGAAGTCCTGAACATTGGCCGAGGAACCAAACCAGAGGCATACATCTACAACTGAGACATTTCCATCTTAATACATCACCGTAAATCTTGAGAACACAAAGACACTCAGGAGCTGGTCTGAACTTAGAGCAATTATTTTAATATTTTATTTAAAATAACGAGCTTCTGTGCGTCTCGTCCAACTGCATGGACCAGCTCAGGGACATCTAACAAGTAGGGCTGGGCAATATGGACCAAAATGAATATCTTGATATTTTCAAGATAAATCGCGATATACGATATGTATCAATATTTTTTTTCTTTCCTTAAAGTAATAACAAAATATATTTCTGAGTCAAAGGTTTGTCGCAGTTGTCCCACAGGCACATTTATTAACTGTACAAATAAATGTCTAAAAAATAATAATAATAATTTTTTTTTCTTCTTTCGGCTGCCCCCTTCTTCAGGGGTCGCCACAGCGAACTAAGTCACACGAAGACTTGGCAGTTATATTTTTTTACGTTGGATGTCCTTCCTGACGCAACCACGGACCACCGAGCTACCACAGCCCTCTGTGTAGAGCAGAGAGCTGCTATCTAGGACACCTGGAGGAGCAGATGGTGGGAGTTAAGGGCCTTGCTCAAGGGCCCAGAGTGGGACAAATTTGGGTGGGGGCAGGTGTGGGTGCTTCACCTACTCCACCCACATTTTTGATGTTGTCGGTACCGGGGCTTGAACCGGCGATCTTCCAATCACAGGCTCACCTTCTCTAACCTCAGCGCCACCACTCCCATGTCTAATAAAAATAAAATATTTACATATATTAAAGTTTGTTTTTTAGACATCCATCCATTATCTACCGCTTGTTCTGAAGTCAGGTCGCAGGGGCAGCAGCTTGAGCAGGGAGGCTCAGACATCTCTTTCCACAGCCACCTCTTCCAGCTCTTCTGGGAGGACCCCAAGGCGTTCCCAGGTCAACAGAGATACATGGTCTTTCCAGCGTGTCCTGAGTCTTCCCCGGGGTCTCCTCCCAGTTAGACATGCCCGAAGCACCTCCCAAGGGAGGTGCCCAGGAGCCATCCTTACCAGATGCCTGAACCACCTCAACTGGCTCCTCTCAATATGGAGGGATGGTGGTTCTACTCCGAGTCTCTCCCAGACAATTGAGCTTCTCACCCTGTCTCTAAGGGAGAGTCCAGTTACCCTGTGTAGGAAACTCATTTCAACCGCCTGCATTCGCAATCTCGTTCTTTCGGTCGCTACCCAGAGCTCGTGACCATAGGTGAGGGGAGGAAAGTAGACTGACCGATAAACAGAGAGCTTTGTCTTACAGCTCAGCTCTCTCTTCACCACAATGGATCGGTACAGAGTCCACAATACTGCAGATGTTGCACCAATCTGTCTGTCAATCTCACACTCCATCCATCCCTCACTCAATTCAATTCAGTTTATTTATAAAGCGCCAAATCACAACAAAGTTGTCTCAGGGCACTTTACAGGAACATTCACATACATAAAAGCCAATAAGTAAATTTCTCTATCTAAGGAATCCAGCAGACAAGTTGAATCTTGGCTTCGTTGCAGTCTCCCATCCTGAGCAAGCACAGTGGCAACAGTGGAAAGAAAAACTCCCTTTAACAGGAAGAAACCTCCAGCAGAACCAGCTCAGGACAAGCGGCCATCTGCTTTGACCGGCTGGTTGAGAGGACAGGAAGGAGAGACAGACGAACATAGAAACTACGAGAAACACTCGTGAACAAAACCCCAAGATACTTGAACTCCTCCACTTGAGGCATAACCTCACCCTCGACCTGAAGAGAGCAATCCACCCTTTTCCGGTTGAGGACCATGGCCTCAGATTTGGAGGTGCTGATTCTCATCCCAGCTGCTTCACACTCGGCTGCGAACTGCTCCAGTGAGAGCTGACGATCACAGCACAATGATGCCAACAAGATCACATCATCTGCAAAGAGCAGAGATGGATTTCTGAGGCCACCGAACCGGAAACCCTCTGTCCCCTGGCTGCACCGAGAAATTCTGTCCATAAAAGTTATGAACAGAATCGGTGACAATGGGCAACCCTGGCCTAGTCCAACTCTCAACCTGAAGGGGTCTGACTTACTACCAGCAATGCGAATCAAACTCGCACCGCTTTTATAAAGACCGACCAGCCCGTAGCAACGGGCCCCCAATCCCATACTCATGGAGCACCCCCCACACTGTACCTCAAGGAACACGTTCGAAAGCCTTTTCCAAGTCCACAAAACACATGTAAACTGAATGGGCAAACTCCCATGACCCCTCGAGGACCCTAGTGAATTTAAAGAGCTGGTCCAATGTTCCACAGCCAGGACGGAACCCACATTGTTCCTCCTGGATCTGAGGTTCAACCAACAATCGGACTCACTTCTCCAGTACCCCTGGACAGACCTTACCAGGGAGGCTAAAGAGAGTGATGCCCCTGTAATTGGAGCACACCATCCGGTCCCCCTTCTTGAAGAAGGGAACAACCATCCCAGTCTGCCAATCCAGTGGCACAGCCCCCAATGTCCATGTGATGTTGCAAAGGCGTGTCAATCAAGATAGCCCCACAACATACAGAGCCTTAAGGAAATCAGGGTGAATCTCATCCACTCCCAGAGCCCTGCTGCCTTGGAGCTTTTTAACTACGTTGGCGACCTCCACCACGGTTATGGACAGATCAACCCCAAAGTCCCCTGATTCTGCTTACTCCATGGAAGACCTGCCAGTGGGATTAAAAAGGTCCGAGAAGTATTCCTTTATGTCCCGATTATATCATTGGTTGAGGTCAACAGCACCCCACTTTCACTGAACACAGTGTTAGTAAAGTGCTGCTTTCCCCTCCTCAGATACCTGATGGTTTGCCAGAATCTCCTCGGAGCCGACCGAGAGTCTCTATCCAAGGTCTCACCAAACTCCTCCCACAGCCGAGCTTTTGCCTCAGCAACAGCCAAGGCTGCATAATGCTTGGCCCTTCGGTACTCCTCAGCTGCCTCCCGAGTCCCACCAGCCAACAAGGACCGATAGGACTCCTTCTTCAGCTTGACAGCCTCCCTAACCCGGGGTGTCCACCACAGAGTTCGTGGCCATTTAGAGAAGCACCGACAACCTTGCGGCCACAGCTCAAGGCTGCCACTTCAACAACTGAGTCACGGAACATGGCCCACTTGGACTCAATGTCCCCCACCTCAGCTGGGATGCAGTTAAAGCTCGCCCAGAGGTGCGAGTTGAAGATCTCTCTGACGGGTGACCCGGTTCTGACTGGGTTAAACTGGGCCAGCAACTCTACAAAGAGTCTCCCTGGGATTCAATATCTGTTGAGGAATAGAGTTTAATCTGCTTGCCACATCACGTAGAAAGGCTTTTGAAGCACCATCTCATATTTCCTAACACATCAGAACCACATAAGATCCATTGAGATCACACGTAGCCACGCCCCCTCATACACTGACAGGTTGAGCTCCCCTTCTGTCAAGGAGGAGTCTAGAACCCTATAAATGAGTAATGACACAGGACATCGGGGCTCTTCTTGGTCAGTGAACACGTCACAGACCGGAGAGACCAGCGCTGTAAACTGTAACCTTTTCCTGCCTTGATTTAATATAATTGATAAAACTTAATTGATGTTTTCTTGATTTATTGATAATGAGAGTTGCCACTTCTGAGGGAGATTCGAGCCGGGGGGAAAAGACATGGGCTGGAGGGAGTTTCCGGGTCCGGTGGCCCGCAGCCAGCTCCCGTCTTTAACAACGACTTGGACTGTTTTGAATGGATTATATTCCATCGGGCGGCTGAAGATTCGCCATCTGGATGACAAGATGCCAAAGGCGTTCTCGATTGTTCTCTGAGCCCTGCTGTGACAGTAGTTGTAAACCAGATGTGTTTCCTCCAGATTTGAGCCTGTGCATGATAGAATATCAAAATTATTACTAATAATTCAATTTGGTTTATTTATTTGGCACCTAGTCAAGTCAAGTCAACTTTATTTATAGAGCACATTTAAAACAGAACCTGTTATCAAAGTGCTTAACAACAACAATCAATGAGAGTAAAATTAAAGAGGAAAAAAATACAATACACTAATAATAATAACTGAAGAATTAATAAAAAGCATTTAAAACATAGGGTCACAGATTTTAAAAACTCTAGATCAATTTACACTGTGTGAAATGCCTGTGAGAACAGATGTGTTTTTAGCAGAGATTTGAAGTGAGGAAGAGAGTGGCCTGCCTGATGTTGGGGGGCAGGTTGTTCCAGAGTTTGGGGCCCATGACTGAAAATGCCCCATCTCCTCTGAGCTTCAGTCTTGTTTTTGGAACAGCCGAAAGCAGCTGATCGGATGATCTCAGGGCCTGAGAGTAAGGTTCCAGAAGCTCAGAGAGGTAAAGGGGTGCAAGTCCATTTAAGCATTTGAAGGTCAACAGAAGAATTTTAAAGACTATCCTCGTACGAACAGGGAGCCAGTGTAGGGAGGATAGAACTAGTGTAATATGTTCAGACCTACGAGTTCCGGTTAAAAGCCGAGCAGCAGCATTCTGGACGAGCTGTAGATGTGAGATGGAGGCCTGCTGACCCCAGCATACAGTACATTGCAATAGTCCAATCGGGTCGTGACAAAGGTGTAGTGGACTAGGCCTGATGTCAAAACTGACCAGATGGACAGAAACTGTCATTTCATTGATTTGAATCCAGAAATACAGTTTGACCCATCCTGAGACTTTCTTTCTTGAATTAATCAAGTGGAAAAAGACAATTCTCTATGATCATTACTATTTTACAAATGTTTTGATAATCAAATTGTGTTAGTTCAAACAATGTTTACATGTTGAAGTGAACTACTCATTTTTATTTACTTAAACAGTAGTAATGATTTTTAATTCTCAATTCAAAGTGAAATCAAGTT